ACCAAATCGGCCACCATACCAGCTGCTTTGTTGCCGGCGGGCCATTCACTAGCTGGCCACTCTGTTGCTCCGGCAGGCCGTCAATCTGGATGACCACATCCCAAATCCAAAAATTCACGTACACTAGAAGCTATACATGTGCTTCCCCCCAATCCTTTTTACATATCTAACACCTAAATTACTTGAACTAACAAATTCACAAGCGAGAAAGGAATAGAACCACCAATTTAAGCAGAAGAAAGTCCAAAGTACCCCTTTTTGACCCTCGTTGTAACAAGGATGTATATGTAATTTTCCTCTCCCCTTCTTATTTTCTCTAGAGGACCTCTTTGGCATGTAAAGGGGCTTTCTCACTCCTAATGTAGACTTAACTTTTTTTTCTCACTTGTAACATAGGCTTCTGTGAAATAAAAGAAGCCGTCGAGCCAGGGTCCACCCCCTTTTGATCCCCGATGGGGAATCCCTCTCTCTCTTTCTCTCCCACTTTTTCTCCACTGGTGAGACTCCTGTTTTATCCTTTGGGCACGACATGCCGTACAGATTTGAATTCAACATTAATAAAAGTGTTTATAACTAAATTATCAAAGGGAAAAAAGATGTCCAAAAAATGAAAAATTGGGTAAGAAGGTCCTAAACAACTGAAAAAAATAAACCTTTTTCCTCCAACTGTGGTTTTTTCCTCCAAAAGCCTATTTTCTCCAATCATCCTCCAACGACCACCTGCTCCTCTAACTGGCTACCTCTTCCTCTGATCGAACACTGAAACCCGAAGATCCTACCGATAGAAAAATTCCAGAATGTCAGATCCAGCAGTTCACGGGGTACAAAGCAGTATACACCATCACAGAAGACTAAACTATTTTCTATAACCCCTTTTAAAGAAAGGTAATATTGTAATTTAGGAGCTGGTCATCCTATTATTTATAAATTGGAGGGTTTTTTCATGTAAAATGAGGTTTTTTTTATCCCCACTTGTAACTTATTTTTCTTATGGAATAAAATGGATTCACGAGCCACGAGCACCACATTAGCAACGACCACATAAATCTTCTACTTTTCTTCAATTGCACTGTATCTCCCCATCTCTTGGGTTGAATTCAACTTTATTGTTAGAATTATCAAAGTTATTTATTTTCATTTAAATATTTTAGCATATGTCTACTATTTAAATAGACAAATAATAATATCATTAGTACCATGACATGTACTCATTATTAAGAATATTTTTGTTTATATATTTTTCTTTGTTGCTTTATTCTATTGCCTATGTATAAGCACTCTCATATCAGCATATTATTCAATTTAATAATTTCTTTTATAATTCTAGTTTTTTCTAGCATGATGTGAAAACTAAGCTTAATAGTATTTTAGTATGATTAGCTTAGTTTGATAATGTATGAATCAAAGTATTGTTAAATAATAATAATAATGTTAGGTATGATTCATATACTATAAAACAGATGCTGGAGCGGAGCAGAGCCCACGAGTCGAGTGGAGCGGAAGGATCTGTCCAATCGGGGGAGTTTCACTATGTGGGTTGGGAGTGCGGGGGCAACACCCCGTGGTTTGGTACATGGGTAATTTAAATAATTACATATTGTACCGTAGAGTTATATATGTCTTATTTGTAACTTTAGAGGAGTCTTTGAGATTCTGAGAATTCTGAATCTGATATTCTGTACTCTTTTCTGAATATTGAAAAGGAAGTCGTCGGTCTACTCCCGAGGATGTAGGCATCTTTGTCAAACCTCATAAATTTGAGTGTGTTCTTCTGGATTTGTGTTGATTCCTGTTTTTCTGCGTGCTAATTTATCAATGAGTGGTATCAGAGAGAGGTTCAAGAGCAGGGAAGAAAAATTTGGGCGGCGCAGGAATAAAGAAGAATTTGACATAGGAGATTGGCAGCTAGGGAAGGATTTCTCCAAGCTTCCCAGCAGTTCGGATGTCGGCGCAGAG